CGTATTACGCATTATATATATTCTTTAATAATATTTGTTTAATATCGTATCCATATTCCCGTTTTTTCGGGGTTTTCCCCATTTATTGGGAAAATCAAAAAGTGACTTTTTTAAATTACCGCCCCAGGTAAATTCCCTTTCAGTAGTGGTGCTATACTCGATACTACGGAGTAAGTTTTCTGGTCGAATTTTTGCACATAGTATAATAAGTATCTTTGTAAAACCAATAGGTACATTTTTCGTTACGCTCAGAATCTAAAACACTATAGACAGACGGATCTTGCCTTTTTTTGTACAGGTACGGTTTATTAATGGTAAACTGTAATATTATGTATACCTACTGCGTATACGCTCAATTCGGAAAGGTATAAAATTACATATTATTACACTATTATCCGTCGACGAGACGATGCCTATACAAATACGATGAGTAGGCGCATACGTATAATATTTAATACAATAATATTATTTTGCAGCGGGTGTACTCATACTTGACGTACAAGTAGGTATACCTACTTAGAATAATAATTACTATTGTACTTGCGTGATACAATACCATTATAATGTTACGTTTACGATTTTTCAATATTATACACGGCGTTCGAACGTACGCACGAGTACAAACAGAACAGAAATTTAATACATAGGTAATGCAAAATGCGAATGTCGGAAACTCGGTCATTGGAAAAATTGCGTACAACTCGACAAACTATTATTCGTTCAGCCATCCCCGAAATCTTTGACGATTAACAACTAAGTACCTATCGGTGGTACTGGTATACCGCGAATACTATAAAATCGTTTTAGTGAATAATCATTCCCTCTTTCTTAATAAAAAGCGCCACGTTCAGATAAACCAACCATTTTCCTAAGGGGCCCTAAGGGCTGGATCCACGAGACCAGGACAAGTTAACGGGCAGAGCAGGGGGAGATATTGAAAATTGTTGTGAGCTAGGAAGTTTGAGAAACGGGTGATAAGGTGGCAATCACCTAAATTTCCCCTAAATGTTCCATATTGTTTCCCTTTAATTTTTAAACTTTCCTCAGTAACCCTTTTTGCCACCAGTGAGAGTGCTTCCTATCATATAAAATATAATATTTTGTTACAAATTTCACTAATTCAATCAGTATAACCAATTGTTTTCTAGTGGACAAACAGACGCAGTTATTGAGCTATACGATAACGTATAGTGTGATACCACAAATACCAATGGAAATCAAAAGGATTTATTACCCAAGTATTATTTGATTGTTTTAAACTTGAACCCATAATAAAATATATTTTGAGAAACTAGGTATTATTTTTTAACGCGACACATTAACGATAAATAAAATACTACTATTAAGTATACTGTAGGTATAATAAAATAATATCTATAATTACAATATTGTGCTTACTTCCTCTGCAAAATTACTGTTCCGTCAAAAACCACACTATTATATTGTATTGATAGTGCATATTCGTGCAACATCGGAGATTTAGTAAAAACAAATCATATTTACCTGCCACCAAACCGACCGAAACACATATTTTGTTTATAACCCGGAAAACGTGTTTTCTTTTTGTTAAGTTTATTTATTGTAGGCACACTTTTCAAGACTAATATTTATGTTCTTGAATGATGAAAGCCGATTCATTCGTGTTCGGTAAATTTAAGAGAGTATATTGTAACCTCGATACTTTTGGAATAGGTAGGTCAAAAATCGTTTAAAATGTAATATGTATGCCTATTGCTAAAAAAAAAAAAAAAAAACTTGTTTAGCTAAACACCGATAAGATATCATCTTTCACTATATAATGTGGTTCCTAAAAAGAAATACATATATATGTACAGGTGTATGGTAACGTGCATTACATATTATACAACCACGAGAATAATAAATTATACACTCCTGTCAACGAAACTACATGCCTACTACCTGTTAAAGTATAAATTGTTAGTATTAGATACACTCACAGGTTAGATTAAAGGAAATTTATATTTTATTTTAATAAAAAATGATTATTTTTGAGGTTTTTTTTTTTTTTTTAACGCGTGAAAAGTGGTCGAACTCAAAAAGTCACGACGGAATGTAGCCGGCCTGATTATTATTATACGCACCTATTATAAATTCACCGGGCCTATTATAACTTATAATATATTTTAATAAGCATATATATTATGCCATTATGATAATGAACTTTTGTATTTACACGAATCAAGAAGTTTTTTTTTTTTACACGACAGAATTTCCAATCCTATATATTTTGTTGATCTATTAACTATTGCCTATTGATCTTGAAGGAACGATGTCTGCCTACACAGCCGGAATAGGGAAAATTAGAACATCCCGAGGTGAAACACGTGACGGCCCACTTTGGCCGAAAATTTGTATACCATATACTATACCGCCGAGTTGCGCAAACTACCAATACCAAGTTATCGGACATATAACATAACAGTAATCGATATAATAAAACGATTAATTGTTGCAGAAACGGCTTTTATCTTTTATCTGTTCGACAAATAACATTTTATTGTATCGATAATTTGAAGGCCTGATTTCGGTTCGATAAATCTTTAAGCCCCGGGGATGGGACTGAGTCAAATTTTGGAATTTTTTTTTTTATAAATTTGTCTTCTATAATTGTTTTTCCTTTATTTTTTCGTCTAAACAGCACGAGTGTATGTTCGTTTTATGTTCCCATGATATATTTGAAAATTAAAATACCTTTAAGTCACTATGATGCACTTTTTGTTTATTGAAAAAAGGCATAAGTCGTATAATTATATGACTTGAGCCATTTTGAAGCCATATTCAGGTTAGGCGATTTAGCAATAAATTACGCCACTATGTTATTTAGCCAGTTTGCTTGTATTGAACATTATACAAAATTAACTTAACCTTTATTCTTCCCTAAAGAAATATGTATAATAGTTCTTCTTCTTGTCGAGTTCGGCTACAAAATGTCAATTAATAATAGTAATAAATGTAAACGTAGGATAACACTTAAATAACATACAAAATTAATTAACAAACTAGGTAAATATAAAATAAATCACGTAGATGTATGGCAACGTCCTAAATATTGTACCGCAACCAGTGTGTAGCTGGTACCTATAGGGCATTTGTGTTTTGTCAATATTAAATGTTTTTTCGGTGCATTGGTCCGGACTCGTAATGCACGGCAAAAAGTGTCTGACGGCGGTCTGTCGTTCTCCACATTCACAGGCGCCGCGCGTCGTCTTTTCTATTAAATCCTAATTTTACCAAGTTAAACTTTGCCCTCGACACTCCGACTCTTAACCTATTTCGGGTTATCCGCGGGGACCATGGGTAGGTTTCCGCCCGATAACGGAAGTTATCGAGTACGCCGAATTCGTTCCCCCGGATGTAGCTTGTCTTGCCGCCTTCGAAGTCCGACATGGCAGAAACCTTCACGTGGTGCCCCTGTTAATGTCGTGTCCTCGCAACTAACTAATTCTGCCAACAACGGCGCCGAAATATTATTTAAAACAGTTGAACCGATAACACAATATATTGTTCAGTTTTTCGTAATTATTTCGTGTCATACAAATTGCGTTTTGAACGAATACAGCGTGGAACACTATTATAAACAATCACAATATCCAACCAGTGAACTATATTGTTTATAATCATCATACAATAATTTACCGAAAAATTGTTTGAACAACGGGCCGCCACTGATAATTTTGCTTACCGGTGCATGGGCGGCGCTGTGAGGCAATACGCACGTAATATGTATGATAGGTACCTAGGTATATTCAAACGTGTGATAGGTACGCCTTAAAACGGTACCTATCGACTATTGTATGCGTAACTCGTTGATTACCTAATGTTTTAATACAAAAGATGCTTTTAAAAATACAAAAAGTTTTCCATATGCACAGGGCGATTCACTAACCGCCGTCACCCCATTTTTTCGGTTAAATTTTGCATATATTTAAATTCTGAGTGGAGTGAAAAAGCTAACGATTTACAAGTGTAGCACTCTTTCCGAAAAGAAATCTGACTAGGGCGATACATTAGAGAGGTCATTTTTTGATTATCTCAAGAGTTTTCTCAATATATTGGAAAAAAACGTAACCCTAAATTAGGATTAATAATAATTAATAATTAATTTAACAATACTATAATAATAAATCTTAATAATTAAAATAATGTGTATTAAGCGATAATTTATTACGAACATATTTGATTTCAGACATCAATATTACTTTATCATTGTTCAAAATAACTCACCTTTTTGGCTGTAATGGTTTATAAGAATAAATTAACACGATAATCAATTTATTATTATTTTTTTTTATTATAATATAATACACATTTTATAAAAAGAAAAAAAACTTGCAGACTATAACAATATATTATGACACTTTTTGAGAAATTAAAACAAACGAATAGGTTTTTTTTTCTTAAACACACTTTCGTATACCTAATAGTCGACAAATATACATTTTTTCACACAGTATAACAGTCAATGCCAAATGTCCTGACACATTCAAGTGAGGGTGCTGCGTGATATTGGCAACCCCAACATGACGACAATAAGTAATAAAACCATCTCTAGTAAGTACATATTTGTCGATAACAATAATTGTGCATAAAAGTGATACATGAAACACTCATTATTTTAAAAACTATTAATGTTTTTAAAAATATATTTTTTACATAATTACGAGTCGATATAAAACAAGATTTGTTAAAAGTTTACAATTAAAAAAAAAAAATCAAAGGAGGGAAAGGGGTGCCAACTTTACGGACGTCCTTGGTCTCCCATGTCATCCGGATTAAATAGTAAAGATGTTTATTCATTTTTTCATTTCAAAGAAAAACTTCAATACAACGCTATCTAACGGTAACCCAAATAAACAATTTAAGTGCACTCAATAATTATTATTAATCGCAGTCGGCCAGAAAACATATGGTCCACGAATGTAAATATTGATAACAGATAATGTACAAGTAAGACCTATGACTAATAATTACGGGCGTGATAACAGACAAAAACACCAAACAAAAAAATTCGTCGAAACTTTTGATTACCCAGTGTCCTCGGTTTCGAAAGTTCGACACTTCTCCCCTTTTCACTACGACCCAACGGAAACTGCGTGGTAAACGTTGATTACGTCATTGATAGGTATGAACTGCAACACCAGATCATAAATAGATACCTCCCTAGACCGAGAGTTCGAGTTTTAACAATATGGGTATATTTGGTAAATCGCCCTCCGCCGATCCTAAAGAACAAGTGAGTACCGTATTACTTTGTTTATGTACACGTTACTGTTTCCGATTCGTCGTCGCATGGCGAAAATTTAAATTTGTCTGACTTCTAGGTCAAACAGTGGACGTCAACCATACGTAAAGAATCGTATAAATTGGACCGACAAATACGAGGTGAGCCGTTCATGTTGTACTACCGTACATACTTTAAATTACAGTGGTTACAATTAATAATAATAATAATAATACTGATATGGTCGTTAACAGTAGTGTAATAAACAGTATTGAAGGAATATTTGTGATACTTTAGGAATACAGCGAGAAGAAGAAAAAGTCAAACGATCAATGAAAGAAGCTGCCAAAAAGGGAAACAAGGATGTCTGTATTATTCTAGCCAAAGAAATACTAAGATCTAGAAAGACTATCAATAAATTGTATACATCCAAGACACATATGAATTCTATACAAATGCAGATGAAAAATCAATTATGTAAGTTTTCCTACAATGTAAAAATGAACGTATAAAAGTACAAAAAAAAAAAACTATTAAAATTTTTTAATAAGTGATTATACAATTTACAACAATATTAAAACATGATACCTACCTTTATTTCTAAATATTATATTGATTTTAATGTAAAAATGTCTATGCTAAAAAACTGTTCTAAAATAGGTCACTGTTGTAGGCGAGATGTTGGGAATATAAACTATATTATACAGTGTTAATTGGCTTATGAACTGTAGGTATGCTACAATAAATTAATTGAAAAATTGAAAGTCTCAAAACATCGTTAATAATTGCATGTATGTTGCAGATAGGGTTAGATAAAACTATTCACCAAAAATTCAAAATATTTAGAACTAAAAAAATGATCCACTAATTATTGTACTTGAGTTACAAATTACTATATTGCACTTTAGATAATTAATACATAGTGTACATAATGTGTTTAAAATTTGTCCATCTTATTCATTATGAAAACTACTTCTTTTAGCTATTTTGAGAATGGCTGGTTCTTTACAAAAATCTACAGAAGTGATGCAAACAATGCACAATTTGATTAAAGTGCCCGAAGTTGCTGCCACAATGAGAGATTTATCCAAGGAAATGATGAAGGTCAAGTACCTATGTAAAAATTGTTTTAATTTACATGATATAATATATTGCTTTTAGGCGGGGATCATTGAAGAAATGTTGGATGACACAATGGAAACCGTAATGGACGATCCTGAAGACATGGAAGAAGAAGCACAATCCGAAATTGATAAAGTACATATTAGTTTGAGAAAAACAGCTTAACCTAAATAGTATAATAATTTCAATTGTTAATATTGTCATAGGTGCTGTGGGAAATCACAGCTGGAGCATTAGGCCAAGCTCCGATGGCAGTTACCGAAACTCCAGGCGGTTCAATGGTACAAGAAACTGAAACTGTTGAAGAAGACGGGGACTTAGAAGAAATGAAAAATCGCTTGCAAGCATTGAAAAGCTAAGTAAAGTTGAAACAAAGACCCATACACAGGATAATATAATATATTATTATGATGAACTTTAAGTTTTTAACAAAACATAATATCTATCAATAATACTGTGGATTAAAAATATTATTTTTTGAAACCGCTAAACTATTAATTTTATTCATAAATTAGAAGCACTAATGTTTTTAATTTTAAGCGCTTGCAATTTTTTAATTAAGTAATTAAATATATTTTTGAATTTTATAGTGTAAAAGTTGAATATTAATATAATTTAGGAATTAGTGTTTTGTACCAAATATATTTAAACAAATGTTTGGTTGGTTAGATTAAATTATTATAAGACTCCTTAAAACTTTAAAAACCTTTACACTGATACATTTCCTAACCTTTACATTAATATTTATACTATTTTTGGAATTTAAAACTTAATTGAAAATTAGCATATTGTCAAATGTGTTGGGAAATTTATTTATGAGCATTAAATTTGGAAACACAACAACTTGCTAACATTATATTTGATCTCTTGTTTTAAAATGGTAAAAAATATCTATATTATTATACACATAAATATATGTATTGTTATTTAATAAATCACAAATCTTGAATCAATAATAAAAAAAAAAAAGTTGAAAATTGTTTGTTTATATTTATTGTTATTGTATATGACCTGAATTGATAATCTTCACACTATTGTCTTAAAATTAATTTTAGTTATACTCGAGTCACGAGAGAATTTTTTTTCAAACCAATTGTATGTATTAATATACTACCAGAGGTTCGCAATTTTTTTTAATCTATTATACGTGTATATTATGAATCTGTATTATGTATCACTTATGACTAGAACTTAAAAATGTCAATACATTTATTTAAAAACATTTTAAGACAGTAAAATGATATATAATTATTTTTTAATTATTTTATAAAACTATAGTTAGCCCCCCTTAAATGCATTGGTACAAATATCTATTTATTATTAATTCTCTATTCTACCACCATGTGACTTTACATACTACCATGTAGTCTATCATGTATCGCAGTTTGAAGAATGTTGTTATAAATTATAGTTTATCTCAAGAATGTTGTTTTTAATGCATTTTTCTACAAATATTTTATTACTACAACAGAGTACAAAAAGTTATAACCATTTATATTGCACTTGCAATATTTTAAATATTTCATTTTTTAAAAAAATGTACATTTACAAATTTAAATAGTTAATAAATCAATTGTTTTTTTGAGGTGTAGCGATAATGACAGTTTTTATTTCAGTATAAGGTTGTAGACCATATTCACCCATTTCTCGCCCGTAGCCAGACATTTTGTAACCTCCAAATGGTACTTGTACACCAAAGACATTGTAACAGTTCGCCCTATTTACAAAACAATAATTATTAAGATACGATTGTTTAAATTAATATACATTAACTACCAAACAGTGCCAGCCCTAAAACTCTGAATTGCTCTATTAACTGTATCTATGTTGTTTGAAAATACTGCTGCTGCCAAACCATAATCTGTATTATTTGCTCGGCTAATTACTTCGTCAAAGTCATTGAATTTCAATATTTGTTGTACAGGGCCAAATATCTATAAGTTACAGCTAAAAATTACAAAATATAATTACATTATATTATTTAATTCAATAGTTACTTCTTCTTTTGCTATTTTCATATCATCTTTAACATCAGCAAATACAGTCGGTTGTATGAAATATCCCTTGTTACCAATTCGAGAGCCACCAGTTACAAGTAAAGCGCCTTGTTTTGTCCCACTGTCAATCATGCTGAGAATTTTATTCATTTGTTCTTCAGTGATCTAATTAAAACACAACCAAAGTCATAAATAAGAAAAAAATAAAATTGTATATTGATAAAATTTTAACCTGAGGTCCTTGTTGTGTTTTTGGATCAAACTGATCTCCAACGATGCGTTTTTCCGCTCGTTTAGCACTTTTCTCAACAAACTCGTCATAAATCGAATCTTGAACAAAAGTTCGAGAACCGGCACAACAAACTTGTCCCTAAATCAAAATTATATAGCCTATTGAAAATTGTCACATTGATACACATTATTATATTACATAAAATGGGAGTTATGCATTTAACAAAGGGCTGCCAATTATTTGAGACTAAAAGTCAGGATATTCAATTTTAGGGAGGCACATGTCCCTCAAAAATCTTTTTTTATTGGTTATTGAAATTATTTAGTGTTTATCAATATAAATATAAGTGGATTATAATACAAATTCATTAGTGCTTCCCGCTCACTTTTTTTCTGGCTATAGTATTAGTGGGTATACCCTGTCTAACTTTTTATCGGATTATACCTATTCTGATAATCCCAATTATTTGTGTATAATACCTATGTCTGAGAAAAAAATAACCTTCCCTTTTCCCCTTACTTAACAAACTAAAATAAACAATTAAAACAACATAATAATAGTTTTGTTGTTTTGTATCACAACCATAATCAATACACTACCTAAATTATTTACTTGAAAGAGTTTATAAATATAACAAAGTACCCGATAGCTAAAAATTATTTCTGAAATAAAATATAATAATATCCAAAATAAATTGTATAGGTTTTTGTGAGAATTAACATTTTTGAAGACATGGGCCATATTTTAGGAAACTAGTATTATTTACCGTCCCGGCAGAGACTTGATGAATATCAGGACAGCACGCTTAAAACAGGTAATGTCCTGGCTAGATTGGAACGAATGGCAGCCCTAGTTTAACAGTAAGTACAACTTACTGACCATATTATAAAAAAGTCCATAGTGAGCACCTTCCACGGCTTGATTAATGTCAGAGTCACTGAATATTATGTTTGGAGATTTACCTCCCAATTCCAGTGTTACTCTTTTTAGATTAGTTTTAGCTGCATCCTCAGCTATAATTTGGCCAACCTAAGTAGAAAGAAAACATTGTGAAAGTCATTATTTTATTTAGTCAAATTTTACATAGCTAAATAAATTTACCTCAGTAGACCCAGTAAATGCAACTTTATCAACACCTGGGTGATCGATGATGGCTTTTCCGGCTATTGGACCATAACCAGGAACTATATTTACAACTCCAGGTGGAAATCCAGCTTCTTTGATAAGACTAGCAACATATAAAGCAGTTAGGGAAGTCTGTTCAGCAGGCTTTACAATAACAACATTTCCTGTTCAATATTTACATAATGAATATTGACATTATAATAGTGACAGAAATTATTGACAGTTTTTATTGTCTTACACTTAGTATTATTTACCCATGGCTAAAGCTGGTCCAATTTTCCATGACAACATCAATAATGGAACATTCCAAGGAATAATTTGACCACAAACACCAACTGCTTCATGTCTAGTGTATGCAAAATAATTACCATCAATTGGGGTGACTTTTCCATGATTTTTGTCAGCCCAGCTAGCATAGTAACGCAATACATTAATAGTTGCTGGAACATCGTCTGATAATGCGACATTGTATGGTTTACCATTGTCCAAAGCTTCCAAACTCTTCCAAAAATCGGTATCAATGGTCATTTTAATGTATTTACAAACATATATAAATTAAATCTCACAGCCAAATAAACAGCATCACGTTGGATTAGATCAGCTAATTTGTAGAGCAACATACCACGTTTTGAAGCATCCATTGTACGCCAAGGGCTATTTAACTTAAATGCTTCTTGAGCAGCAGCAACTGCAATATTAATATCCACCTAAATTGATAATAAATTTTATATTATATATTTTATATTATAAAAAAAAAATAGGACATACGGCATTGCCTTCTTGGACTTGAGCGATTGATTCACCGGTAGCTGGATTGAGTGTATTAAATGTCTTTTCAGATGATGATTTTACAAATTCATTATTAATAAACAGCTAAAAAAAAAAAAAAAGCATAGTTATCATAGTAGATAGGCACCTAAATGAACACCAACACAATGAACTGAAATGGTAATTTTCAATGTTGATGTTTTTTTTATTTATTTTATAGTACAGTATGAAAATTTCAATTGTTTAAAACAATTTGTGTGGATTAAATTGTTTGGCTTCTTATAATTTTATACAAGCATTTTAAGTTCAAATTTATGATACAATTTATTAAAAACATGAATCAATTATTATTTATTTTCTATTTACAAATTAATGAAATGTTCAATTTAAATTTACCAACAATTTTAACCGAACTACACTCAGAATCAATACCTAATGATTTTTAATAATTTACCGTTGCATAATAATACATAAACTAGGTAAATTATACAGCTTATCATAACTTAGTAGCTTTCTAACTTCTCATCTACAATACAGTGGCTTACCATTACCATTAAGCAAAATAATTTTTTTTTCTTTGAATACCTATCTACTAGGTGGGTATACACAAGTATGAGCATAAATACAAATTAATAGATACATACATGTCATGCATGACAAAATGGTTAGGTTTTTATTACCTCCGTATATTTAATTGGCGGGTTGACAATTGGTTTTGGTGCACTGCTGGCAAAGCCTTTTTGTAATATTGACAGTGTGGAATTGACAATTTTATTCACTGTTCGAAATGACATGTTTAGTGACCGGACTCAAGAAACTTCCAGTTGTTACTTTTAATATTATAAAATTAAATTAAAAAATAATCGCAAAATAGAAATATGGTTTTAATTTCAATTATTTTTAGGAAATTAGGAGAGTATGGCAAGAATCATAAATAAATGAGAATAGTGTGGATAATGAATAATTATTCTAAACATTAAATATGGATTTTGCACGTTTTACTATTGTCTTCATGATTTAGTCACACGGCATTACAGTCACGTCAGGTCGACGATATGTACGAATGTACAAACTGGATAATTTTCTAGACCTTGTGATTTAGAATGTTACGAGCGTGAATTGAGATAGTATTATCTTAAACCGTTGCTATCTGGAGTGAAAGAACAAGAAAGAACGCGATAATAGACAAATAATTGAACAGGTCAATTGATAAGGGCAGAGGTAATATTTTTAAATTCTCCTGGTAACATAGGTAGAAGGCATTATAATACCATAATAATTTTATCTACAAACAAAAACTACCAATTATTTAATATAACACAATTAATAATTACGTATACATACATAAATATAAATATTTTTTTATACATCTGTAATGCATTAAAACAAATTGATTGATGAAATAAAATGTCAATTTCAAATGTGTCAGTTAACTCCTTTATCTATTGTCCCCTTAAATAACGAAATCAAAATGTCCAAATTATCAATTCGAACATTTGAATTCGCGGATATTCCCATCGATCTTGGGTTCCCAAAAGAACCAATAAACAAAATGATTATGTTCAAACTCAGTAAATCGATGTCAAATAACCCAAAGAACAAGTGAGTAAAATACGTTGTACAATAATTTTTCACACATTGCTATTTTTCTTCTTTTTTTATCTTCATTTCAACTATTTGGGGTCGGCCACCCTTGTTCTTAACTCCACAGCACACACACCAGCTATCCTATTTGGATGCCTGAATCATTTCATTCAAAATTTTCTCATTTTGTCCACTATTAAAACCACTTTAAGCTAATCCTCTGATGTACTTATCCTTTATCCTATCTTCTCTCTTTACTCCAGTTATCTACCGGAGAATTTTCATATCTGCCGCACACATTCTTTCTTCTATGTTTCTGTTAACCACCCAACACTCTGAACCACACAACATAGTCATGTCCACCTATAACTTTTGTAGAACTTAACTATAAGTTATATTGGAATTCTCTCGTCCCATAAAACACCTGACGTTTCTTTCCACTTCATCCAACCACACTTAATATTATGTTTCACTTACTCATGATAGCCATCATTCTTTTGCACAAAAGATCCTAGGTACCTACTTATAACACTCAACCTCGCCTATAACCGCTTATTGTCATAATGCGGTCTTGTCCTGTTCCTCCAAACTCATACTTTGTTTTACTTTTACTTATTTTTAGTTCAAGTGCTACTTTCCATTCCTTACCCCTATTGTTAACTTATTCCAGATTTTCTCTTATAGCATTGAATATGTAGGTATACAATGTATTACATAGGTAGATAATTAATACTATTAATTTAGACTGTGCGTTTGCTTTTGGTTTGTTAGCAGATAAAATGGTGAACGCAGAACAAATGTAAAAATCAAACTTGAAGAAAACAAATTTAAATGTATGATGAAATAAGTAGCTAAAATTGGTACAAAATTTATATTAATATAAGGAAGTACTAAGGTTCCTAAATAATCTTCCAATTAAGTTTTAAATTGTGATGATACTGATTAAAATTATCTGAATATTAAAGGGTTCGTTTTGAACATTATTTAGGAATACAAATTTTACTATCCTAAACATATTTTGACATTCATTTGATACAAATTATTCAAACACAAACTGTAAATGTTACTGAATGAAAAAAATGCCATTATTTAATGCATTTGTAACACAAAATATACTAACTATTACTAAATATTTAAACTTAATCACTGTTGATACATTTTTCTAGTTATTTTGGAATTTTGTTTTTAAATAATTTTAAACATTTATAGTTAGTGATGCACACAATGAATAATTCTATCAAAAATTCCTGAAATCACAACTACTGTTAGAGATTTACTGAAGGAATGAAATATAAATATACACTAGTAAGAAAGTATTATTACATATGCATACATTTTTTAATTTACTGATTTTTATTTTAGATGAAGGTTTATATTTTAATAGATGACCGTACAAACATAGATAAGACACATTACAATGGCCCAATAACGGTACATTTTAGAATGTGATACATGAATTTGCCTTGAGTTTTTTCTAAAAACTTTTAGGAACCAAATTTTAATTCATGTATATTTTATCTATGTAATTAAGTTGTAAAAAATGATATTTATTGTTGGATAATTAGATAATTTTGAACTTAAATTAAATTAATAATAATTGTTTGTATATTGTTTTGTTATGTACAAATAAAGTATATTTTTTCTTTATCTTAAAATTAACTTTCATTGTTAATCTTGAATAGGTATTATTTCATTGAAAATATTATCAATTCATATAATGTAATACATATTGTCTTTATTTTCACTCATTAACACACATAGAAAAGATAATAAATTATATAACATATTAACATGTAAATACTAATAAATTATATATAATTTTTTTTTCTTATGTAATAATACTTTTACTATTATTTTGTTTGCTATCTTAAACTTTATGGTCAAAAAACCCAAGTAAACATAGATAATGAAATTTATGATAAGCAAAAAAAAAAACCTAAGTAAATATAGTACTATGACTTTGATAGATTTTCCTCTGTAGTATATCTGTTTTTTAACGTTCTATATTTCTTGAGCATATAGAGAGCTTCAATTTCTTTAATGACAAACTGGCCACGTTTGACCAATGTATGTATTTGTTGTGGGTCACTGATATTGCTGTTTTTTTGGAAAGCTTTTTTCAAACGCGAACGGAAAAAATCATATCCTTGTGGATAGTCTCGTCCCATATAGAGAAGCTGCAATAGAAAACCAAACAAAAATATTCAATTAGAACATGATCATTTTGATTATGACCAAACAGTTATTTGGTAAATATTCCTCCCTATTATTAGGAAAACTACTAGAAAAATACCCATATCCCAATGCACCAACTAGACAAAATTTTCTACCAGAAACCACCACTGATATAGATGATAGAATCAAGATTTCTAATAGCCTATAGTGTGGGATCTACTCAACCGTACAGGGACATATTTAATACCGATTGACCGTTTTTTTCTTATTATCTTTTTTACCTCATCTCATCACTTCACTTATCCACCTAAGCATTCTCATCGTTGCCACACTCATTCTCTGTTCTATTTTTCTGTTTACTGCCCAACACTATAACGCTATACATATAACAAAGTCAGTCTTACCACACTCTTGTAAAACTTCTCTTTAGTCTCATTGGAATACTCTTGTCATATAAAATACTTGTTGCTTTTCTTTTCTTAACTAAAATACATTTCGGTGTTAACATTATTGATTTCCATTAACCCATTCTTTTGATTTTCAACGTCTTTTTTTTATTAAATAAAAGCAATTAGGTGGGAAAAAACGTATGGAAACGTAGAATTTCACGATTTTATTATTTTATAACAACACGGACGACGTTTTCTACCAGAAAAAAATTATTAAATCGAAAAATCACAAAAAAACCTTTTTCGTTGCTTTTATTATTTACTTTCTCACGGTATCACCTCCAAAACTTTTGAGCCACTATTGAGCTTTTAAGGAGTTTTTAAGATGTTGTTGTTATAATTCGGTTATAAATACACGTAGAGTGACTTGAAACTCGGTAATAACACGTATATTGGACTTGGCCAGACGTGGTGACATTTCCAAAATTATCGGACGAATTTTTTTTCTTTTTGCCTTTAATAAACGTTTCGAAATCGAAAAAAAATTCCGGCATTTCAAATTGTGTATTGCCGAACCGCCGCGCCCCGGAATCGTGTTTCGTCAAGCAATAATCGTCGCCCACCGATGTAAATTGGAATTGCCCCGTCCCCAGTATCGGCTCATATTTCATTTATCGAGGTTTACCAACAACTAGTGCGAAAATCGCCGGTAAGGGCGGCCGTCCGGGAAAACAATCCGCCTGCCGCACGAGATTAATGCGGCACCGATCACAAAGCCGTCCGGAAACGCGGAAACGCAAAACAACAACGCGCCAAGGCCTTCGAGCGAAACGTGTCGCAACGTGTCATTGTTACGCGTCGAGCCGCTTTGTCGCGCGGACCGCCTAAATATAGAAATTCGAAATGACGAAACGGTCCCCCAAAGCCCTTGCGTCACGGACCGCGCGCCAACGGGGTCGCGTTAGGGGGTGTTAGAGTAGGGGGCGTTGCGGACCGCCATCTCGTAGCGAAATATCTCCGATACCCGTATTAACAGTACACCACCCGCGTCAACAACGTTTCCGTATAGCTGCGTTTTTTTTTTTCGTTTCATGTTGCAGTCAAAACGTTTTGAAACAATTTTCGCCCAAAACAATTCGCACCGAAAATTTAATTGATCGTGAACATTTTTCGGGGTTTTCGTGTTGATGTAATAAAGTCAATTTCGCGGGGGGGAGGAAAAAAAAAATATCTATCGAAAACAATCGTTGCAACGTTTTGGTCTCGTCCTCGACATTAATTTGCGCGGGGGGCACGGTCGTATCGCGTAGGCAGTCAGTACGACTTGAACCCGGTCGCGAAAGTGGCGCCGTGCCCGGTAAATAATATAAAATGTATAATCAAAAGTCGGGCGTTCGGGCCGGCTGGTGTTGACGGGGGTGACGAGAAACGATCGACCCGGTAAAAACGAACAGGGAAAAAAAACAAAACTCCGCTGACCTTGAACCTCGGCCAACTAAAAAAACGCAGCGTTTACCCAAACGGAAAACAACACCCGTAACCCGTACCCGCGCGAAATGCGGTGTGCGGAGGGGGCGTACGATTCAAGCACACGCTGATAACGCAACGCGCGGCCACAACACTTACCGTTTTGTACAGATTGACGACTTCTCGGCGTGCTGCTGCTTTGGCCATCGCGTAATCGCGTGTCGGTCGAGCGCGGTAACGACACTGCGGCGACGGCGGCGGCACGTGAAGCCAGTCGGTTCCGTACGTGCGCGCGCATGGGTACACGTGGGAACTGCGTAATTCGCGTCCCGCGGCCACCGCCGACGCGTCACGTCGTCGCCGACCGCCCCTCCTCCTTCTACCACCCCCCCCTCCCCACCGTCCGTCGCTCGCCGATAGAATAACAGGTGCACGTCGCCGTTACCGTTGTTTACCGGTCCGGGTTATTGCTGTTGCCGCGGTGTTTTACGCTCGCGGTTGCCTACCCGGCCGTCGGTACGGCGTTCGCTTTACAGCGCGGTGCGTAGGGCCCGGGAATCGCTGCGTGTGCGTCGCAAGAGACCACCGTTGAAAAGCGCGTAGGAAAAACGGCGAACACGCTCCGCACGTTGGGCGGGTTAGCTGAGAAGGTGGACGGGGAATATCATTCGTACGTGACGACAAACGATCCGGAGCGACGTTTCTCTTTTATACGCACGCACGTAAATAAATCTTCCCGGTTCCCAACGTTTCTCCCGGTTTTCCCCGGTCGTTGTGAGAAACCGCTTGAACAGTCAAAAACATAGTCTCCCTCTTGAGTAGTACCACACTTGGAAATCGGAGCAAGATTTCCGGTAGAAAAGTTGTTATCGGATAAAAAAAAAATTAAAAAAAAAAAAACAAGGATAATTATAGAAACGGCATAAATTATATTGAACAGCCCTCCCCCATTCTAATAGCTCTAACTAAATTAAGTTAAATGTTTTAACACTGTGAAAACGATGAACACAAAGAATTTTTTTTTCCATAAAATGATGCAAAGGTATATTATTAAAAAAAAATTACCGTATTAATCATTTTTGTAGTGTTGGAAAATTGTATTTAATATGTTTTAACTTTTAGAGGGAGAGAGGCTTTTAAGTCTATTTATCATTTTTCAACGTTTTCAAGAGGTTTTTTTTTTTTTGTAGATTTAAAGATTTACAGTCTAGTGATGTGACATTAATCCAAATTATCTGAAAAATCCAAATTTCAAAATTCGACTTTTTTATCATTATTTTTTTAAATTTATATTGTGTATATTTTTACATTTTCCGTTTTTGAAAAATCTGGATTTAAATACATTTCGGATTTTGGATTTAGAGATTTACGGCACATCTGGATTCTTCCCAGTTTCCCATTATAATAGTTCTCGTAAGCCGAAACTCGACGAATCATCTCTTTTCTTGCCTCCATCACAATATGAACGACCATCTAGATCTCCGCGAGTAAATTATAGTTCCTCTGTCAACTAAACACCCTTGGATTATTTAGATTTATAGATTTAACTCATACACACACTTATAACGTACATATTTCAACGGTCACCTAGATTTCTAAGATTTAATTAGATATGGATCCTTTTGACTACTTATACTAATTTGTATGGTCAACTATTTTAATCCACAGTCCTTGTTGTGTCATCTTGGGAATCTAACTGAAGACCGTTCACATAGATCTAGATTTTATAGATGACCCAAGGGAATTTAGTTTGCTGGAGAACTAATAACAGACTCGTGGGCATCTGTATGGATAACCACGAAGAATCTCGATAACTACGCGTATCAAGTATAAGTGGGACATAATTTTTAATTCGAGTATAAACGCAACGGAAATAATAAATATAGACAGAAAACGAACGGTAAAAAAAAAATTTAAAAAAATGAAAACAAATAATACAAATAATTGGATAGAAATTATTTATAATAGTTTAGAATACGCACCTACTAAGTATATAATCATCGCCTAAAAATGTTTCAGTTTTCTTTATAGCATGAAAATACAATAGCAATAATTACGTAGAATTGTATTTGACGATTTTTCTTATTAAATAAATCAACTAAAATATTCGTTATATAGAACTTGTGGTTTGGGACGAAAACCATTATTTATATTACATACATTATATACATTTTAATAGTAAAAATGGTAAAAGATACTCACTATCTATCAACATTTTTCTTTACCCACGTGAATTTATAAAGTAATTTGATATTCTTCATTTTTAAAAATCGTTAATAAAAATATATTTCAAAAATAATTAAATTTAATTGAATAAAACTGTTGTAATACATAGTAATATCAAGTATTTCTAAATGTGTACGAATACGATGTAAAATACAATTTCATACTTCATACCTTTCAGTGATCTGCTACAGTACTCGGGCTCTGTGACATATTTCTATGTATTAAAACGCTGCTATATGTTTTACTTTAACCACATCCGAAATGGATGATAATATGCAAATTCGTTACGAGTCCTGAACTCTGGTTTAGTAATATTATAATAACTGCAATATATAAGACCGCCCATCTAAGGTTGAAGATTTAGGTTTTATATAAAAATGCCAAGAACCGAAAAACACTCGTAAACGTACCCGAATTTATTGTCTCCGACGATAATTAGAAGGACGGGAAAACATAATACAATATCGTTTATTATAATAAGGTCTGAGGGGAATTAACTTCCTCTCTGTATATAGTAATCATACGTGCAAAGTACAAAAAATTGGCAACAGACTCCGGTATACGGTCACAGCCCCTTAATCATAAACAATAATATACAAAAGTAAAAGGAAACGGCGGGCAGACCTTCCATTTTATGCATCTACCAAACAAAATGCTGCCCGTACGATTGGAAATTTATTCGTTGTTTAAATTATTATAACATCATTTCATTTGTTAAGGTTTGTGTTAATATTATTGTGTACCTATCTGGCTATCTATACATTTATAATACAAATACAAAATACATACTATATAATAATTTTTGAAATCGTACGTAGATAATACGAAAAATAACCTCGAAAGTTTTGGGACTTTGTAATACTTTTTCGATTAGTAAAAAGGCTCCGATTTTTCTATGCTGCAATATTACTTTAAAAGATGCGGATTTTTTTTTTATCTGGCGGACGACGGTACTTTATTTGATAAAATTCCAAACACTTCTTCCAACAATAATTACTTTTTGTTTTTGTTCTTTTTTTTTTTAACTCATTTTTTATGAGTTAAACGCTCCGATTTTTTTCATCTGGTAGATACTTACACAAATGTCTAGTTTTCAAAAGGTTCTGATGTTTTTTTTACTATAATTCAAAACATAACTACGAGTAATACATTTTTAAACACTATCAGAGATTTGGGATAAAAAAATCAAAACTACAAAATAATTTTTAAAAAATCGCATTGGATGAAAACTAACTTACACTACTGATCAATGATCTAATTGCTTGTTCAGTTTTCAGGGTCATTTTCGCGCGCATCCTTCCAAATGATAATTTTAACCAATCCTTCTATATTTGAAATAGTTTTAATATACGATTAATCACTTATTGTGTTTAGAAATATATATTTGATATGGTGTACTTATAAATACTTATTATAATCAGTGCGTCATTTTTTCAATAGTTTCAGCGATGAATAAAACAAATATATATAATAAAAGCTGATTGAAGCTTTATTGTTTTTCAGCAGATTAGACAAGTTCTGAGAAAAGTATTTGCTTACTCCGGACTGAAGTACATAATAAAATGTCGAATAATAAGCAATGTCGTAAGTACTTTTTATATTACTTTACACATGGACGTACTCACGGGGGGGGGAGGGTTAACTCCCCATACGCCGTTTTTTTTTGCAATCAATTCGTTTTAAATTTGTGAGGGATATGAAAATTCACTGTCGTATCGTATAGTTTATATTTACAATTAAAATATAAATATACCTATTTGTTGCACCGAACAATTATTGATAAATTATTAAAAATAAAAAGTACACTATTTTTACGCATTCAATTTTCTATTGTTATTATATTTTTTTTTTTATTAAAATTATTAAAAATAATTTTAAATGTCATAACTAGAGGAGTGTGCACTGATAGCCCCTTGCATATTTTTCTAGAAATCATCCACAACCCCCCCTACATTGGAAATTCCTGAGAACGTTACTGACTTTACAACAACCAAAAATGTTGTTTAACCATTTTTTTATTATTATTTTTTTTTTTTAGTTTTAGTTTTTAAATTGTTTTACGAATCTACCGGTATATATTTCATTAAAAATGTAAACAATTTAAAATCTAACTTTCTCTCTCTATTTTTTCATATTATAGTAATGTGTAACAAGTATCTAACTATAAGTTTTACTTTTAACATTAAACAAATTAAAATAATATAGAGTTAGACGATAAAAAATGCAATATATAGTAACCTGTCTATGTTTCATAAAAATGTTTAATACTATAAAAACGTTCGTTAAATTAAAGAACTATTTTTTTTTTTTTTTTTTTTTTTTTATATTTAATCAAACGCGTAGAATTTTTAGAATTCATTAGTTTCTTCGTAAAAGATTTACAAAATTAAATTTCTTAGCAAAGTATGCAAATAATACAAATTGCTGACTTTAATCAAGACAGTATTGTATTTATTATTATCAACTAGAATTTCTTTGTATTCTATATTATAATAAAATGAAAGAACTTTTGAACAAGTAATCTTACATCGACCTTATACACTTTGACCCTTATAAGGATCTGGACAGTGAATCTGTATACGTACAGAAATATAATCTTCTTATAGTTTATTTAGGTATAGTAGGGAAAATTACTTATGTAAATCTTTGATAAAACAATTTTAGTTCGCGTAGAATAGTAAGTTTTTTTTTTTTTTGGCCTGTAGAAGGAATAATAAATCCAACACTGTTAAGTAGTATATTCAAATATATTATAATAAGTGTGTAAATAAATTTAAAACTACCTTTCTCGACTTACTTATCCTTTATAGATACTTGACAAAAATTGAAAAACGTAAATTATTTGCAAAAAACAAAAAATTATAATATACCTTATAAGCATATCTACAATCTACATTGAAATTTAAAAAGTCACAATGCCTATTTTCGTTTTGATAAGTTGTTACATATAATAATATTATAATTTACTATCTGTTCTATTAGCTTTAATATTCAAATAAATAATTTTCGCCTTATATATTGTGAAAGGTCACGTAAAATCGAGTACCTATATGACGATACTACAATATATTATATAAGTAAAATATACT